AGGTTGATGAGGTCCATGATTCTGGGTATTTCGATCTTAGTATATTTGGTTAGGTTGGGTGTGTTGTGTAGTACAGCTGCCATGGATTCTTTTGCTAGTTCTGGGTTTCTGGATATAAAGAGTGCTGTGACATTGAATGAAACCATAATTTCATCTTCATCTGTTTTTAGGTCTTTGATTTTCTGGAGGCACTGTAGTGTAATTATTAAGTTCCATAACATATTCCACTGAAGAATGAGAGGTCATATTTCACGATTTCTAGTTTGGTAGTGCAACGTTCAGGCATTGCTTAAGCTGAATCCTACAACTAGCTGAAGAAGCAAATGAACAGAAGTAATTGATTACTATTACTAAGGTGATTTGTTACTGTTAACCTTTGTTGTAATTTTTCCAATGTATTTCTATCAATTTAGGACAAAGGCTCGGTTTGGCCAAAGCCGCCCAACCTAAAAATCGAACAGAGATCTTCCACACTGAAGCCAAAGCACTCTTCTGCCTTCTGCACCTGCCCTGGATTCCAGAGCCTGGGCATGCTTCTTCCTAAAGCTTTCAGTGACTGACATTACTGTCTGCCATGTTAATTATTCTGTTTTAATGAATTAATACCAATTTTTCATCTATAGTAAGTTGTAAATACACCATTTCTTATATCAAACCAAGTGCATTTTCTCAAGCAATGGTGCATTTATAAGCCTGCAAAACAAACATAAGACCCTTATTTGACTGAGGGCGGAGGAAGTGGTGCTAATTAAATTATGAATTTCATGTTACACTATTAATTTTTAGTAAGGGTCAAATCTGGCCCTTTTATATACTTTGTGCTTTATTGTGCACTGCCCCAGACTGGCAACAATATTAACTTGTAATGATTTAGTTGTATAGAAGTAAGGCGGTAATGTCTTTACATCCTGTTTAAAGTCTTGATCCTATTCCTGTTCTGCCAGTAAGTTTTCCTCTCTAGAACATTGTCTTTCAGTGAGAGGGTACGCATGTTAATAGGTGCTTCCTAACCAAACTTCCTTTCTTCAATGCTTAAATAAAAAATTCAGTTAAGAGAAAAAAACTCGACAGTATTTTATGGTACAGACAACCCTACAGCCTTTTTCTGCACTGAAGTGCCAAATATGACAAACGATAAGGAAGAGAATTCAAGTCCACACTTGTATTTATAGGACTTTGCATAATCAACTTAGTTTTATTCCTGTGTTATTTAAATATCTCTACATCTCTTTGCAAAATTAATCTTTGAATAGAAAGGTTTGTGCATGGAGGCTTCAAGTTGTCAACCTGCTCCTTGATAATGAGCTGAAGAATAGAAGTCATCCATCTTTTAAATGTAGTAAACACTTTTTTGATAGTAATGGATTTTATGAAATGCTGTAAAGATAGAACAAATCGTGAATGAGGCTAAAGAGCTATAATATGTCGTCCTATCTCAGCATTTCTCTTCTGCAATCATCAACTGCAAAGAATAGATAGTATTTTGGAGAAGCACCTGCAGGATTCCTTTAAGGGAAGAAAGTTCTCTTCCAGCTGATCAGCCAATATTTTTGCAGCTACCTTTCCCATCTATAGGTAGTCCTTGCTTACTGACTGCCTCGTTTGGCAACAATTTGAAGTTACAATGGTGTAAAAAAAAGCTTTGCAACAAATCCTTGCATTTATGACCATTGCAGTGTCCCATGGTCACATGATCACCATTTGCATGCTTTCCAACTGGCTTGTGGCAAGCACAGTTAATGGAGAATGCAGAAGTAAAATCACAAGTCGCAGTCATACGATGTTTTGCTTGATGACCACAGTGATTCACTTAATGACCAAATGGGAAGTGATGTTGTAAATCCGTCATAGGTGATTTTCTGCTTAGTGACCGCAACTCTTACCAACAGAGTTGCCAGTCCCAATGTGGTCGCTAACTGAGGGCTACCTATATGTTGAAAATTTCAAGCAATGATATGAAAGGAGGGTGATAGAATATCTATGAGATTAAACTTTTTAAAGGATTTCTTTTAAAAAATAATTTAGTTTTCTTTTGAGACCATGAAAATTTACTTGCTTTTTTCCCTTTCTAAAATCAAGACAGGAAATGCATTTTGACATGCAGCTGTGTTGGCTATCCTATGATGAGAGTAGTTTTCTGTAATAAAGCATATGAAAACAATTGTGATTCTGCAAAATCCAGAAAATATGGATAATATTATGTAAGACTAAAAAGAAAAATACAGTGGACATATTTATATTTATTCCTATAGAAAAGAAATGACAAAATATTGGTTGATACCATAAGAGATGTTCAGTGAGAAGTCCATGTTTATGTGTCTGGACTACTTCAGTGTTATATAAATAACTACAGTATGCTTATCTTCCTCCAATATTGTATTAATAGATATGATTCTTCACCCCCCCCTTTTTTTTTTTTAATAAAAAGGAATTATTGTGCAGAGAAAAGAGAAGAATCAAACATTGCCTGGGCAGTGTCCCCTGCCCACCCTTTTTGCCTTTTGCCCTGGAAACAGCTAAGATCTTCTGGTAAAATCTGAACCTGCACTTCAGGAAACCTGTCTTGCTAATAAAGGCATCATTATATGTACACAATTAATTTGTGTCTCCGGGATGGAGATTGCTTCCTCTGATCTGTTAGCTCTGCTTTTCTAGACTTTATTCTGCCGTTTGGCTATTACTATCCTTCAGCCCACTTATCTCAGCAAGAGAAAGAGGGGTTGATTCCAGATTGACTGGCAAAGATTATCTAGGGTATTGTGCTTGACTTGACAGCCAAAATGTCCCTGGCTGCAGGGCTTCCCTCCAAATGCTGGGGTAACTCAACTCCCCCTTCTCAAATTTATGCCTGCCACATAGAATTTCAGCAGGATGGAAGAAATAAAGCTTCAACTATAAAGTGTTTTCTTTTAAAAGCTGGTGGAGAGAAAGGTAAATGGAAAACATATACAAAATGAACTTTTAAACTGTTTTTAATGTACTACAGCAAAAGAATCCAAAG